GATTAAATTTTTATCCCGTTACTCTTTTTTTAGAATCTGGCATGCATATCCATTTTTCTAGCCTGCTTAACTGTAAATTTCAAGATTGTTATCTTCATGAAGTTGGAGCTTTATCTCCCAAGTTGGAGCTTTATCTCCCATCCAATTGTTAGTTGATCAATATTTTGCTCGAGAGGTGCAGAGTCCAATCTTTGGCCTTTTACTAAGTTAATCTTATACCCCCTTGCATGCCTTTTTGGTTCTTTAATTGTGATCATATTTAATTATGAAGATTTTTCAGTCCTCTTTAGATATTCGGCCGAGATCTACCTGGAAAGGTCATCAAAAAACTCTCTTTACTACACTGGACACTGTCAGCCCTATTGTGGTACATATTTTACTCTAAGGACTCAATGGTTTTTAATTTTAGAGAAAAAAATCTTGAAACCTATAAAACTCTTCTGATCACTGCCTTTTTTTTTTCTGCTTTACCCTTCTTCTATCAGAGGTAAAATTCCGGCTGCAATCAGTACACAACCATCAAATCGGCTAATGGAAAAGCATGTTACCAACAATAACAAGGAGGTCTCCTCATGAGGAGATGATTTCTTGATGGTGAGAGAATTGGGTTCCAACTCATTTTGTTTCTTTTTTCTTCATGGATTTTGAGAAATATTTTTTCAAAATGTTTTGTCTATATTTATCCGCATACATCAAAATCTGGTTTTTGTGTGTGTGTATGTGTGTGTGCTTGTGCTATATAACTAACATAGGAACTTTTTGGTACTATCAATAGATTTTCGTGAGCACCTATTTAGGAACTGTTTTTTGGATTAGTTCCCGTTTCCACTGTGCTGGTGCTTCGTGTGCGTTCTTATTACTATATTATTACTATTAAGACTTATTACCATTATATTGTGGATTAAATACTCTTAAATACTCTACTTCAACTTTTGTGGATTATTTTCTTTGATATCTATGTGTGACATGTTCCTTACAAATTTCATGTATGTTTGGATATTACTAGCAGTGATGCCCATGAAAAAATAGATACAAAAGAATAATTACCGCTGGAAAAATACAGGTTAAAACTGTGAGATCGGCTATTCTATATTATTTGAGGTATGGAATTCCTTTAATCTCACTTTTTTTGAAGATTATGACTCATGGTATATGATGATGTATAATATAAAGTGAGATGTTCTTTATATTACTTTGTTATGTCAGTGCCCAATCATAGTATCATATGAAGAACTTAAAAATTGGATTATTCTAGCTAATACAATTCGTGCAAATTGATATGTGGAGTGAAAACATAAGTGTTTTTTGAGTTGCAACCATAGAGTGATAGAAATATTCAGATATTTGAGTTATATAAAATGTTTTTCCTACGTTCTTTTTTCATACAACTGAAAAATAAGTACCAATTCATTGGACGAGACCATCGTGGACAAACTATCGTGATACGTAGACCCTGCACCAATTGGTGGAGGTTTGTATGTTAGTATGTGCATGCTGTATAATATCCCTCTTATGAATATTATTTGCTTTGACTGGAATTTTGATTTATTGGTTATTGCTAAAGAAAAAATAAATAATTAAAATTATTAAAATAAATTGCAATGCATACAGCGCCAAAGCAGAACCCAACTTAACCTTACCTCTCTTCCACATTTCTTTTTTCTTTTTTGAATCCTCTCTTTCCCATTTCACTTCGGCCGTTTCAATTTTCAGATCTGGCCATGAGAGTCCTAGGTTTCCTCTCCAAAAACCATGCTACAAAATCAGTTTGGTTCACATTAAGGAGTAGTTTCACGCACAATCGGGTCAGAGCCCTATCAACGGACATCACAAGCACAAAATTCAAATTGCTCTCATCTCAAGGCCGAAATCCCAAATCCCACTGAGTGCCCACCTCCCACTAAGATTCCAAATCCCCTTGAGTGTTCCAGAGAAGAGATGAAGGTAGATTTCTTTCTAAAAAAATCGTTTGTTTAACCTTGTAGAGCTGTGTTCTGCGTGGTGAAAAACTTGTTGAGCTGTGTTTTGTGGTAAAAATTTGTTTCTGAAAAATACTTGCATAGATTCAAATATATGTGAAATATATTGCATACACCACAAAACACAGCTCAACAAGTTTTTCACCAACACAGCTCTACAAGGTTAAACAAACGATTTTTTTAGAAAGAAATCTACCTTCATCTCTTCTCTGGAACACTCAAGGGGATTTGGAATCTTAGTGGGAGGTGGGCACTCAGTGGGATTTGGGATTTCGGCCTTGAGATGAGAGCAATTCAGATTTTGTGCTTTGTGATGTCCGTTGATAGGGCTCTGATCCGATTGTGCGTGAAACACTCCTCAATGTGAACCAAATCGATTTTGTAGCATGTTTTTTGGAGAGTAAACCTAGGAAGCCCATGTTGAAAATTCAAAAGGCCGAAGTGAAATGTGGAAGAGAGGATTCGAAAAAAGGAAACAAGAAATGTGGAAGAGAGGTAGGGTTAAGTTGGGCTCTGCTTTGATGCTGTAAGCATTGTAATTTATTTTAATAATTATTTATTTTTCTTTAGTAATTACCAATAAATCAAAATTACAGTCAAAGCAAATAAAATAATATTCATAGGAGGGATATTATCCAGTGCATTGCATGCACATACAAACCTCCACAACTGGTGGCAGGGTCTAGGTATCACGGTTTTCGGCATGGCCTACATGTTTGTCCACGAGTCTCGTCCACAGGAGATTCCAAGTGGGCCCCATCGCGAATGTGCCATACAAAACGCCTCCCTGTAGCTCTGTAAGTAGTAGGTAGGTAGCTCTCTGGCCTTCCCGGTATGTAATCGTTAGAAATTTTATTGCATAGCTAAGAGTTTATGTTTTACAAAAAGTTTTATGGAAAAAATCTCATTTCCTCTGAAAGAGGATATAAGCTAACCCCTGACCCACTTTGGAGTATATTCATGATTCCCTCCGTTAATAATGACGGGATCCAAGTGTATCCAAAATCAAGTCGTAAACTCACTCTATCGCACACCTTGGCTAGGTAAAGTTTGATCGCCATCCAACCTTTTTTTTTCCTTTTATGCTCCCACATTCTATGTGGTAAGGTATAAACACCGGACAGTCTTTGAGCTCTCCCCAAATTTTAAATTTTTACAAAAAGTTATATATCCTTTATAGATATAAAAGAGATCTGGCCTGCAGAGAATTTATGTTGTACAAAAAAATATATATCTAGATTATACATGTAGAAATTTTATTGTATATGCAATATATTTTTGCATTTACATTTATTCTCCGAATTTATGTTGTACAAAAAAATATATATCTAGATTATACATGTAGAAATTTTATTGTATATACAATATATTTTTGCATTTAAATTTATTGGTGAATGATGTTGCTATTTAAAATAAATTTATTGTTAAAAGGATGTAGTTGCAATTGTATTTGTAATTTTGTGTTAAACTTTGTTTTTTGTAGATAGTATATATTGAGCACATTTCAACAAGAAATTAGATTGAATAATGTAGATCAGTGTTTTCCATAATGCTAATTCCATTTTTAATATTTGTGTGTGTGTGTGTTTGCTTGTGCTATATAACTAACATAGGAACTGTTTTTGGTACTATCAATAGATTTTCGTGAGCACCTATTTAGGAACTGTTTTTTGGATTAGTTCCCGTTTCCACCCTGCTGGTGCTTCGTGTGCGTTCTTATTACTATTAAGACTTATTACCATTATATTGTGGATTAAATACTCTTAAATACTCTACTTCAACTTTTGTGGATTATTTGCTTTGATATCTATGTGTGACATGTTCCTTACAAATTTTATGTATGTTTGGATATTACTAGCAGTGATGCCCATGAAAAAATAGATACAAAAGAATAATTACTGCTGGAAAAATAAAAGTTAAAACTGTGAGATCGGCTTTCTATATTATTTGAGGTATGGAATTCCTTTAATCTTTCGCTTTTTTTGAAGATTATGACTCATGATATATGATGATGTATAATATAAAGTGAGATGTTCTTTATATTACTTTGTTATGTCAATGCCCAATCATAGTATTATATGAAGAACTTAAAAATTGGATTATTCTAGCTAATACAATTCGTGCAAATTGATATGTGGAGTGAAAACATAAGGGTTTTTTGAGTTACAACCATAGAGTGATAGAAATAATTCAGATATTTGAGTTAATATAAAATGTTTTTCCTACGTTCTTTTTTCATACAACCGAAAAACAAGTACCAATTCATAGGACTAAATGAAAAACAAAATGTCGCCGGCTTACGAAGGTGATTAATCTAACTGTTATGTGGTCTACATTGATACTTTTGTTTTTGGTATGGAATAGTATGTTTGGTTTTTTCAAGGTTCAAAAGGTGTATATCTTGAAGTTTGTGTGCAGCCTCAAGGAGGTGGCCTGTGGGGCAACAATTTAGAAGTGACTTTATTTTCTTCTTTTCTTTAATTACTCATGATGTTTAGAATTGCAAGTGTGTTGGATAATTTTCATCTTTAGCCTTATTTTGTTGTTTGTTCAAAGGCCTTTTGTTTCTTTTGCCTTTGTATTGTAAATTATGAGTTGTATATTAGGCTGTTGTTTTTTGTGTAGCTTTTGTTCTATTTATCCCATGGTTCATGTAAGCCCAGAGTGGATTTGCTTCAAACTGTGTATTCTTCCTTCTGTTATGGAATTTATTGATCGTTTTAGAAAAAATAAAATAAAATAAAATAACACTGGGAATTTTGTTTTAGTTGTGAATTTTTTACCATTGGATCAATACACTCATATGTGTATCAATGTATGTATGTGTGATCTAAACATAAAAGGCCTGGTTAGAGTAGTAGCATCAAACTTCCCGAGCCACCAGTTATTTATGATTACAAAATATTATCGACTGTAGAAAAAAAAAAAGTAGAAAAATAAATTAAAAAAAAATTATCCAACCACACAGGAAATGTCAACTCGTAATTTGGTACAATACAAATACATCAGTTCTTAACATTGAAACNAAACAAGTGTGTCCGCAAATATTCACACAGAAGTAGAATGTGTATTATATCACTTTTAGTAGGAGATATCATTACAAGCATATAGATTTTAGTAAGAGATTATGTAAGATCATCTTCATCAAATGGATCCTCTTGTGCTTCTGCTGCACCCCTCTTAAATGCAGTTACATCCCCAGTCGGCAATTTCCTCGCGAGCTTTATGATCTGCGTTAAATTTTCGTTGAGTGATTTGTCGGTTCTATTCAGTTTCGATGACGCCACGTAGATGCAGAAAAAGTACGAGGTATAATAAAACAATACTACCTAAGTTTACATTTAAATGTCGTTCTTAAAAAAAAATGAGAATTCACAATTCATGTTTTAGCCTTAACCTTAACATTACTCACTATCAACTATATATTACTATCCTGATAATAAGCTCTTTCTTTCTCTATCTCAATTATTTTTTTTTTTTAATATAAGTTAAGGTTTCTTATAATATTATATGATTTGAAGAATAGTCTAAGACGACACTTATTTGGAAACAAAGGGAGCATGTATTTTTGTCATCTAACGTTCTTGGGTCGAATTGAAGCTAAAACGAATAAAAAGTTTTAGTGATTTACCACATGGTCAAGATTGGAAATAATACTCGATTGAGCCGCACGCTTGATTTCCTCAGCATCACCATCAGTGTAGGCAGAGAGTAGCTTAGTCGCAGCACGATTTTGTTCGCTGTTGAAGAAACCTTCAACCCTGACAAAGTAGCCATTACAAAGAAAAAAGTAAACATAGTCACTGCATGCATATTCTAAACAAGCACAGAGCAGGGGAAAAGAAAAAAGATAAAAGATAAAACAACTCACTGGCAACAATCGTTGTGACATTTCTCTGCTTGCTGGAAGTCATGTGCATAGAGATATACAATAATTGCACTGAGATAAGCCTTTATCCAAACAAGATTAGATCAGTAATTTTATCATAAAATATGAAATTCAGAATGGGTGGGTGTCTAGCATCGAAGGAACTCGACTAATATCCAAATATCTCGAGACATCAAGGCAACACGGAGCCATTTAATGAGCAATTTGATGCATACTGTGGGTTAATTTTGAGATTCTGACAAATGATAAAACATTCAAAACTATCAAATGAGAAATGCGCATTATTCTTGCCTCTAATGATCTAATCCCATTTAATACTTCCAAACTCAGTGTTTTACAGAAAGATGATAAAGTTACAATCTCAGTCTAGAGTATGTACCATATCCATAACCCTAAAGGGAAGAATGCAGGCTAAAAAATGACGAAAATTGGGGAAGGAGGTTCTCGTAACTATTCTAATTTTTTCCCGTGTATTACCAAAACACATGGATTTTTACAGTAAAAAAAAGCAAGGTATACTAAATTACTAACTAAGGAGCTATGTTACAGAGGGATATTTCTGCACCTTGCACTGGCTGTGCGTAGCATTGCACTTGTCAGCAGCCACCGCCCATTTTAAAAGAAAAGTTGCAGCATCTGTGTACCTATAAGATGTGAACATATTATTTCAGCTGAAAATAATAGCAGTCTCATTTCTCCATAAACAGGTGACTAAACTTGACATGGATAACAAGTATAACATTGATATGTGCTGGTCAGCAGGGTCACTAGGTCAGCTGAGGACCTGAGGTTCTACTTCTACTAGATATTAATTGCCAACATAGCCATAAGATTGTACTTCAGATGTATAAGATTGTATCTCACAAGTATCGGTCTTCATGGAAGGTCAGTAGCAAATGACGATTAAGACACATTAGAAAATGTAAGTGACAAGTTATATGTTACTCAAAAAAATACAGATGCATAACCTAGTTGAATAAACACAAGAATTTCACTAGTACCTACAAATGGAAGTCATTTCAATAAAATTTCAATGTTCCATTACTTGCACTGATACCCAATAAAAATAAGTGATTTTCCAAGAGCCTGGGCGTCAATTTTACTCTGATATTCATATAATATTATACGCAACACGACGCACTGCATACTTGAACCAACAATTTTTAAAGTATACAGTTTCATAAAATTCAACCAAAGAAAGGGTCGTAGTTTCTCAAGTCGGTTTTATTATTTCTCCCCTTAATTAGGATTCAGAAGAGGAGCATAAACTTACTTCTCAAGCTTTACATAAACGCTCACAACAGCACGATACAGATCAAAGGTCATCTGTTCCTTCCCATCCTCTTCAAGAATATCACAAGCAGCAATGTAAAGCTGGATAGCTTCATCAGGGCACTTATCTTCTAAAACACTTTCAAGAGATAAAAATCAACACTTCTATCAGACCACCAAAAGCATAGAGCTACTAGTAAAAATGAAGATAACACGACAAAAAGGTTTAACACATTATTTACTTGTTCTTTTGAAAGAACATATTCACCCATATCTTTACATTCTACAAATCACACGCATATCAGCAAATCTTTCACCACCCATAAACAATAAACACGGTCACAGACTAATTACGAATCATCTCAGCAATATGCAAGTACATAATCATTACCGAGCACCCTTTGCAAGAGCATCCGATGCAGGCTGGGACCTTCCGGCCTCAACGTACAACTCGGATGCACGTCTATAGAAATCGGCTACTTCATTCCATTTGCATACTTCCTTTGCCATAACTCCTGCAGACTCCATGTGCTTTGCAGCATCCCAAGGCCTGATTCACCCCGACCAAGTTTACATCAATTATTAGTTTTTAAGCAGGCAAATGTCCTTATATACCATACTGTAGTAAACCAAACTGTAGTAAAATACATACGAAGATTGCATCTCTTGTCCTTTGGAAGCTTTCTCGAATGCTTCCTTTGCTTTATCATACTTTCTCGCAAGCCTATATGCATTTGCTTTAGGCAAAAACAGATTTCATCAATTTCCTAGGAGAACACTTTCAAATGAATTTCTTATTCATTCCGCCATTGAAGAGGGAGAAAGAAAGTATATAACCATACCCGCCTGCTCGTACAGAACAGTGGCGTTCCTCCAATCAGCATTCCATCTCGTCAAGCTGAGCTTCGTCCTGCGATATCAAATCATTATACAGACATATTTTCACGTATTATTTCCGATGATCCTGAGATTTTGCATAAATATATGAAATATCTGGTATGAATGAACAGAAGAGAAAGTGAAAGGCACATCTCACATTTTATCAGCTTTAGCGATCAATTTCTCCGGATCGGAAGATGCCATCGTCGATCCAGATTGTGGAATCACCGGTCGGATTTTCTGACTGCTGCTGTATTTTATTTTCCCTTTCAGAATTTAGGTTGTGTACCACGAAGACGTTTCCGGTTTTCTCCAATTCCAACCAAAGTCGCGTTCTATATAGAACAGTGTTTTCTCCTTCCTTGTCCTTTTCTGTATTTGTACATTGATTTCAATTTCCAATAAAGAAAATTGCACATCATGATTAATATATTTTTTTAAATATACTTATTTTTTTATAAAGTATATATAAAATAAGATAAATAATCTACTTATATGTAAATTATTCAATTTTATATCATAGTATTATTACATTATAATAACTAATTGCTACACATGAGAGCTAATTTTTATTCACAGAAAAATGGTATTTAGGTCAAGTGGATTAGCCGCGTTAGATTAATTCTCGAATCGATCATCACTAGCATAATCCAAAAGCATGATCAAGCCTCGATTGTGGTATGACTTGTGTGTTGACTTGGTTAACCCTAATTTCAGATCAGTACTGTCGTTGTATAACATACAAAAAATTGCAATCATCCATTATTTTTATATATTTTTGCTATTCTGTAGACCAAGTGTAATTGTATTATAAATTTTAAATATTGCACAATAAGTTATTTTTATTAGTTCGCGTACATACAATCTCAATCTAGTTTTTCTCCCACATTGCATTGTCCGTACTAGATGTGTAAAGTAGCCAAGTCAAGTTCAAGCTCCTACTCGAGCTCGAGCCTTACAAAATGAGCTGATAAATGAGTTCATACTCGAGTTTGACTCTTTTATCAATATTAGCAAGCCGAACTCTATGAAATTACACAATTTTTATTTTTATTTTCCGAGCCTTATCAAACTAAATCGAACAAACAAACGACTAGTTTAGAAAATGAAATGGCAAATGTGTTATTACCACTACACAAATGAGTAAGTCAAGCACTAACCCCAAGTCCACCACACACAATATAAATGCCCAATACAGTTCAGTCTCCATCTTCTTCAAACCAGAAAAGACCANGAGAAAACAAAGCTCATCTCTCTTACTTTGTTCTGCTTATTTTCTTCGCATTTGTTGACCCTTCGTCATCTTCTTCATCTTCCGACACGGTAATCGGATATGGTTACAGCCTCCATTCGGTGACAGTCGACCCATCGGGACAATTGTTGACAGCTCAGCTGCAGCTGATCGGCAACTCCTCTGTTTTTGGACCGGACGTTCAGCTCCTATCCCTCACCGCCAGGTAACTGTAGCATTTGGAGACTAGCACTTTTTTTTTTTTTTTTNATTTCATTTGTTGTTACTAAAGAAGATGAAGCTCAAAATCCTATTAGATAATGGATTTTATTATCAAATGAAAATTATTGGAAAAAAAATATTTCTATTTTTATTGTGGATTGGATTTATGTATTACTAAATCATTGTTGATGGCTATGATTGGTTGACTTTAACAGCATCATTATCTCCGTTAGTTGTCATAATAATTTTGTTGAACTAAATAAATGAAAATGGATAATTTAGTGGATTTTCACCAAAATGATCAAAGTACAAAATGCTTTTTGAAAAAAGGAAAAAAGAAATGAAATAAGTAATAAATACGACTGTAACCGAGTCGAGCCGAGCTCGAGCTCGAGCCTTAACGAGGCGATCTCGAGTTTTAATAACCCGAACTATAAAAATTATATAAAAATTTTCTTTTCGAGTCTTATCGATCGGCTCGACTCATTAACCAAACGAGCTTTAAATGAACTCGAGCTCGGCTAGTTTATCAAATGAGTCGAGTCGAACTTGAGTCTTAACAAGCCGAATCAAGTCAGACTCGATTAATTTATCAGCCTAAGACTAATAAGTTGGGTTAATTTGCAGCTTCTTATATGTCAAATGGGAACGAT